TTTTTTTATTTTGTACTCATTTACAATAATTTTGTCATTATTGTCAAAGATTACAAAGGAATCTCGTTTTTTAAATGGGTTACTTATTTCTTTTAGTTTATTGTGCACATTAAATAAGTCGTGTTTAGATATTACATCCTCCATTTCGTCGCACCGTTCTCCCATCAATTTTTCTTTGGCTAATTTGATTTCCTTTTTTATTCTTTTTTGCAAGTGTCTATATTCTGTTTCATTAGATTTTATCAGTTGATATTGTCCAATTAATTTCAAGATGTCGTCTGTTATTCATTTATTTTTTTTTATTAAGTTTTTTATAATCATGTTTGCAAACAAACTTGTTTTTTAAATTTACTCTATAGTTCTTCTGGATCTTCTAGTTGTTCTCCGATGTTTTTTTATTCTGTTATTAATTTCTTTTTTAATATTATGTGTAATGTTTATATCGTCAAAGTTAAGTACATTGGTTTTTGGTTTTTGTCGCTGAATTCGTTTTAACCTTGGTTTAATATCTGCTACAATTGGTTGATGATCAGATCCAATATCTACCCCAGGAAATTTAGTGACTTTTTTGACGGCATTTCGGAAACGCTCATTTACAAGTATATAGTCTATTTGATTTCTTGAAGACTCAGGGTTATTGCCATCATCAAATGGGGCTTTCTAAGTGTATAGTAGTTTCCTTTAATGCCTATATATGATGGTACCCACACGAAGACTTCTTCTTTAAGTTCCATCTTCTATCGAAGGTTGGAAATCATCATGGCTATGCGGACGCTGTTGACTGCCGCTCTAAAAAGTTCTGCACTACTGCATTCAAACCATTCCCTTAAGTTCTTAAGCCAGGATATTCTTCGTCTTCCCACATTTCACTTTCCTCGGATTTTGCCCTGCATAATAAGTTGCAATAATGCGTATTTTTGACCTCTCATCACATGTCCCAAGTACTCAAGTTTTCGTCTTTTAATAGTTAATATTATTTCCGCCTCATTTCCTATCCTTCTAGTTACTTCCATGTTTGACATTCTTTGAGTCCATGATATTCGTAGGATTCTTCTGTAACACCAAAATTCAAAGGGGCCAACTTATTCAGATGAACTTGTTTTAGTGTCCAAGCTTCCAGACAATAAAGAAGAGTAGAGAACACGTAACATCGAAGTATTCATAGTATTAATAAATGATGTACGTGCTATTTCAATACGTGTCTTAATTTCTTTGGTTTGGTCTACATCTGATGTTATCCATGTTCCTAAGTATTTATAGTTATTAACATTCTCAATTGCAGTATTTTCAATAGTCAATTGGATATTGGCATGTGCAGATTTAGTCATGATCATGCATTTAGTTTTCTTTAAATTTATCTTCAGTCCGTACTCATGACAGCGTTCATTAAGGCGTTGCATTAGGTTCTGTAAATCATTGTTGTTATCCGTAATTATTACTGTATCGTCTGCAAAACGTAAGTTATTCAAAACTTCTCCATTGATAGATATACCTTCTATTGAGTCTGAGAGCGCTTCTTGAAATACCGCTTCACTGTAGACATTGAAAAGTAGTGGGGACAGCACGCAACCCTGGCGGACTCCTCTCTGTATTTTGATATTTTCGGTGTACTGGCTGTCAACTCTTACCTTGGCAGTTTGATTCCAATATAAATTAGATATAATTTTCAGATCACGACTGTCAATATTTTTGCTTTTTAATATATCTACAAGCTTTTTATGTTGAACTTTATCAAATGCCTTTTCAAAGTCTACAAAACATAAGTACATATCCTGATTCATGTCCATGCATCTCTGAGCCAGCACATTCAAGCCGAACAAAGCATCTCTTGTACTCATATCATTTCTAAAGCCAAATTGTGTGTCACTAATCTCATATTCAAGAGTTTTTAACAATTCTGCTGTGAATTATTTTCAAAAATGTTTTAAGTGTGTGACTTATTAAAGCTATTGTTCTGTGGTCTGAGCAAGCTGTTGAACTTGGTTTTTTGGGAATTGCTACAAAGGTTGATTGCAGCCATTGTCTGGGGATTGTGGCAGTCTGATATATTAGATTAAAGAGTTCAACCATTACATCAATAACATCTTTATCGATGAGTTTTAATAATTCGATGGGCACCTCATCTGGTCCAGTAGCTTTACCCTCTTTTGTGTTTTTGATGGCATAGATGACTTCTTCTCTTAATATTGGTGGTCCAGTATCCTCGGTGATTTCTAATGACAGTTCTTCTCTTTCATCATTAAATAGTTGTCGAATATAATTGGTCCAGTGACATAATCTCTCCTTCATATCAGTAATAATATCTCCTTTATCATTTTTAAGGATATTCGTTTTTGTACGCTTTTTAGAACCTGTCATTTCTTTGATTTTTTTGTGTAAATTAAAGCTATCGTACTTTTTATCCAGATCTTCTATTTCCTTGCATCTATCGGATAGCCACCTCTCTTTTGCCTCTCGAATTTTCTTTCTGATGTTTCTCTGAATTTCTTTGTATTTATTCAGGTCTTTTGCTTTATGTTTTCTTCGTTCTTCCATGAGTTCAAGAATTTCTACTGTCATCCAAGGTTTTGTTTTTTCTTTAAGTGGTTTGAGGGTTTCTTTTCCAACTGACACAAGGGCATGTTGAATTTTTCCAAATTTTTGGTCAATAGTTAAACTTATAGTTATCTTCTTTGACTTTCCTTAAGCTCTCGTTTATTTTAAATTTGGTTTCCACATATATGTTGTCTTGTTTGAGACGTCTTGTATCTATGATTTTCTTGGTGCTAGGGCTGTTGACCTTCTTTAGTTTCATTCTCATCGACAAAACAACCGGGTTGTGGTCGAAGGATATGTCCGCTCCTGGATAAGTTTTAGATGATATTATAGAATTTCTATATCTTCTGTTAACGATAATATAATCTATTTGATTTCTGACTATTTTGTTGTTATTGTCAGCTGGTGACCTCCATGTATATAGTCTACGTTTAGGAAGTTTGAACAAGGTATTTGTAATTATAAGTTCCTCATTAACACAGAAATCGACAAGCCTATCGCCACGTTCATTCCTTTCCCCGAGTCCATATCGCCCCACGCAATTCTTCACTTCTCCTTGGCCAACTTTAGCGTTCAAATCGCCCATTATAATATTTATATCTTGTCTTTTAGTTAGACTAATGTTTCTTATTCCAGCTGCATCTTGTTTTTAATTAATTTAGCAATCGGGTTGCAGTTGCACATTTTTGACAGTATATAGGAATTGTGTCGGTCAGATAGCACAGCGGGCTGTGCGGCTGCCTCTAATTCGCTTCACTGTCGAATGGTTTAGTGGATGTGGGATCGAGCCCAAGCTCGGTGTACAGAAAACAAAAAGTCTAATGCAGCAGTTAAAATTCTAGATGAATCTGCGGCTTAGACTAGGATATGCTGGGATCCGATCGGCCTATGGTGGAGCAGTACGGCAAGAGATAAGGGCTTGCGGCTCGGTGATACTCCTCCATAGATCCCTACCGGACAGGCGTAACGCCTAAAAAACCTTATATATATATATATATATATATATATATATATATATATAGGAATTGTTTAAGTCAGTAATAATAAGCAATTTGTCTGATTTAACTGTTTGTATGTGATTTAGAGCTCTGTATATTGCATAATTTTTTTCAAGTATTACAGTGGATTCTGTGGGCAACTTGAAACTTTCTATTATGTCTCTTATAACAAATGATGATCCCACACCAGAAGTTGTTTTAGATGCATCTGTGTAAACTTGGATATATTCAGGGAAAGAAGAATGAGATTATGCGTAATGCATTGTTGTGTATAATGTCTAAGATTTTTAAATTTGACTTCGACGATGAAGAATATGCAATGCATCCGTAGTCCAATTTTGATCGGATTAGCCTTCTATACAACAGTAATAATGATATCTCCGTCAGCACCCCGTTGTTTGTTGGCTAAACAGTTAAGAAGCTTTATAACATTTTGACATGATATTACCAATTTTTTAATATGTGGTTGCCAACTTAAAGATTCGTCGAATGTTATGCCTAAATATTTTATCTCTGTACTTCGTTTCAAAAACTTTGTACTGAATTTTAAAGCAGGTATGTCAGTGTGAATAGGTTTTTTGGAAAAATAATATATTGTGTATAATACGTTTTCATTAATTAGGTTTCCATTTCTTAGGTATTTTATTTCGTTTTGTGTATTGACGCCAGATATGTTCTTAACTTTTTTCCATGCGGATGACATGTTTGTATTTCTGTTAATACTTTGAACGTATTTTTTCCAAGACTCTTTTTTAGATCTGGTAGTAATTAATTTTGCATATGCCCTTTTTTTCTTTAGCTATATCAAGTTCTCATTGGTTTTATTTTTTTTAGTAGCTTTTTTACTATGTTTTATTGCCAATTTACACTCTGCATTCTACCAGGGAACAGGCTAGTAATACTTACTACCTTAAATTTAACACACATAAAAAAACTCAGGCAAAACCCACCACACATTATCCCATAAAAACAAAAAAAAGACGAATAAGGTGCCGAATTTGCTTCTCAAACAAGAAAAGAAGTCAGCCATTTTCTATTTGTGAAAACTGTAAAGACAAAAATGAGCAAATGATTGGAGTAGGCACTTTTTATTTTTTTTTTCACATAATCATGTTTTTGAGTTGTTTTGAATTTTCTGTTTTTTGTTTTTGTTTTTAGTGTTTTGTCTCTCATGTCATATATTTTATATCATATATGACATAAGCCGGATCAAAAAATCCCTCAGAAATTAAATATTCATGTCCAGTTTTATATAAATTACAAACAGGTAAAGGTTATTTTCAAATATTTGACATAACCTGTATATGGTCTATAAGCACGAAATTTAAGTACTTCCTTGGTAGCGAACGTGTTAATATACTTTTGTTAAGAATATGTATTAGTTACATTTATTTAATATATTTTATTAAACCATTGAAAATGTCTGTATATGTACATGATGTCATAGCTTGTTTTTGTTTGTTTCAGCTGGAAGAAGCAGAACGCAGGGTGGTTTAGCTATGGAAATATTTGAACAACATCAAGGGACACATATATTACAGGTAATAATAAATATTACATAAGCTAAAAACCATGCAAAAGTTCCTCAACAAAACTAATTGTTTATATCTATTTTAATAATACTTTCTTCTTTTATATTTCAGTCCTTAGATGGGTTCGCCTTGGCTGTGGCTTCTGACGGTCGATTTTTGTACATTTCTGAAACAGTATCAATTTACTTAGGACTTTCACAGGTAAGTTAATTTATAATATAAACAATATAATACAAATCATCATGTAAAAGAACTATTTTTAATGTTTTTGTTTGTCCTACTTCCATGATATTAGCAAATGAGTTATCTTTACACGGTCAAAAAATTTTGCAGATCGATAAAGAAACAATAGGCCATAACATAATATTCCAATTATTTTTTTATGATTTTTCTGACAACAAAAATCTCTCATTGCAGTATATTTCATATAAGAAGCCTAGTTTAGTGTCGATGATAATTTTGTTCGTTATAATTAGAGTTCGGATTTAAAAGTATAAAGAAACGCAAAAAAGCGCTTAAAATTAATGACTTTATGAAAAAAAGCATTTTGCTATGCAAAAAAGCATGAAAATAGCATATTAATTTTGACAAACCATGACAAACATTACAAATATAGAAACAATAACCTTCTATTGATGTACACATTACGTACACATTTTTATTTGATGCACTTCACACAAGGCACTCCCACACTTGTAACATTTGGTAGTTGTCATTCGTTTCTTTGCTGTAGAGCATAAACTACAGTAAGTCCGTTTTCCCTTCCATTGGAGACCTGTTCGCGGTTTTCAGCAACATGCGTTAAATTCAAAAGCATGGAAAGACTCTCTTTGAGACTTCTAGATAAAGTTGGTACTATTTGCAGTCTTATTTGTTGCCACGGCTTCGTTAGTTGTTTATGAAATTTCAGCATAAAATTTATTCTTGAAAATGGCTCCTGTTTGTTTTTAGTAGCATTGTGATGGTAGATTACAAAAGCGTTTACTCCTGCAATATTCATTATATTGTGAAATACGCAAAGCGGCCACCTTCTAGTCTTTCTATTACAGCAAATATTCTGAGACATTTGGTCAAATGTATCTACAGTTCCTTTAGTTGAATTTTATGTATGATTTATTTCGGGTTTTGGTGTTTCATGATTAATGTTTCCAAAAAAATGCATCGATTGTCACATATGAACTAGCTTTACAATTTTTGACACTGTTTTCATAAAGTTCCAAATTTTAGATATTGGAGCAAAACTACTTTCTTTTTTACGTTCTTCTCTTCATCCAAACTTCGTCCAGAATCTGATCTGTAAAAAATAAATTAAAAACATCTATAGTTTCTATAGCATCTTTAGCTAAGTTGGTTGGACAATATTTCTGGATGCAACTTTACGACCTCCACCATTTATTGGTAAATTACTCCACTTATAACCGTTTTTACCTACTAAAGACTGTTTATCCCATATTATAACAGACGACTTTTGTTCAATACGGTTATCAGTATATGTTGATTCTGATGACGACTGCTGCGTAATTTTAATTCTTTTACGAGAGCATGTGTTTCTTGTTTCTTTGTAAGTTTCTGCTGGTGTATCTGCCCAGGTGTTAGCTACTTTTGTTAAGACATTTTCTTCGTCCTGTGTAGGATCATAGTCTCTATCTTCAATACTATCGTCGCTGTCAAATGGATTTTCTAACTCCTCTAGATCATCTTTTGTGTCATTTAACTCTCTGAAGTCACTTTTATTTATAATTTCCTCCAATTCTTTCTCAGTAAGAGGACGCTTTAGATTAACATTTGATTTTGCAGATATCTTATTTATACGTTAATAACAACAACACGTCACAATTGTTTACAAAACTTTTTACGCGGATACTAACCACACGTATCTTTTACGTACAGCGTGTTATAACTACTACGGTCAATAGCCCACGCAGCTAAGCATTGCCACGTTTAGTTTTCTTTCAGCATTCGGCGTAGTATACAGCTGCATCTAACCCTGTACCCCATCCAGTTAACACTGGTCCAGGTGGTAATAGAGTGTTGGGCAAGCTTCCTATAAAAACTTACCCCCTTAAGGAGCTTAATAAAAAAAATTCCCCATTGTTTATCAACTCATTAACAAGTGGAAATTGTAGCCGTATAATGCAATGTGGTTCAGTCCGTCGGCTAAGCACGTATAGTGTATTAGATTTGGATAAACAGTTTAAGATTTGATACTGTTTTGATTATAATATATGGTGCAGCGTCGGAAAGCGTTAGTACTAATTAATTGGTGGGCACAGCCTCGTGATGATAAAAATTTGTTAAAGCTTTATTTATTATTCTTAAAACTGTACTGTTATTTGTTGCTTCCAGTTCTGAGCACGCTAAATAACCCTTCGTCAAGATTTCTTCGCAAAGTACGCTATTATTAAATTAGCGATGTACCTTCCACAACTAATACTTTCATCCGGCACATTTCTTTGATAGTACTTTTCCAAAAATAATTGAAAACTTTTATTTTGCAATTTATTTAGTGGGATAGCAGAGTTCACTATGGCAATACATAGTTCAAAATTATATTTCTTTTGTTCGCTATATCCCGAAGCTGATTTTAAGGATTCTGCATTTTTTTGTTGCTTACATTTAGAAGCAAGATAGGATAAAAGTTGTGAGTTCTATTAAGTGCATCTTTGTCGTAAATTTTTGAAAATATTCCCCATTTAAAATAACATGTAGCGATTAGTTTAAATCAAAATATCTACAGAATGGTTATTTATTTTTATCTTAATATCTGACTTATCTGTTCATTTATTAATATTTTGTACTTCTGTTTTAACCGAAATTACTAGTTTGAATTTTTCTCTTCAAATCTATCTTTTATTTATCCAACTAACTTGTAGCACAAATATTTCAAAATGTCTTTATTTTCTAGGCTTTTTCCATATGTCGTTATATCTGCTAAATGAATTTTCTATTTTTGAAACTACTACTTAATTGATCAACCCATATCAAACATCACATAATCTACAATATCCTTGCTTTATTATTATCACCATTGTTTTCCTCTCTATCATTATTGTACTGGAAACTGTAACTTTTTTTATTAATTTATATTAATTTTCTTTCTGGAATAAGAATGGTTCTTACATCTATTTAAAAAAATCTGCATACATAATTGATTTTGGAAAGTGTACTATTAACTTTTATTCATTAGAGAAACCCATCGTTGAACAGTATATGGAAAGTACACCTAAATTCTTTAGTAGTAATCAGTGTGTAATTTAAACTTAGTATGCGTCGCCAAATCATCACGAAAGTTGGATAAAATAATAAGGATTCAATGCGAGTACTGTTAAGAAATCGTTTTGTACAAATCCGATACAGTTATATAACCTCAAAAAATACATCGCTAGTCGCAAGGTTTATTCTGTTACCAAAATATTTTGGGAATATAAAACGTAAATTTGGAGCTTATCTAGGTCAATGTACCTTACAGCAGGTGTTTAAATTATATTATATTATATTATATTTGTATATATATATATATATATATATATATATATATTATATATATATATATATATATATATATATATATATGTAAAAGATTAAATCTTTTAGCGAAAGCTGCTATCGCTTTATTATCTTAAATGGCCAAATATATGGCCTAGAAGGACAAATTCGCTAAACTTCCCGTACTCGAATCGGTATCAATAAAGTGTTATGATATTTCGGCCTATCCCAGCCTGATCAGACACTTAGGCTGATAGAAATTCAAACTCGGAAAGTCCAACGAATGTCTCCAAAACTTCACTACAGCGTAGTTAGCTTACAAAGGCGCAATGGGCAAAGGCAACTGTACCAGTAGACAACGAAACCTCACTAGAATTCACGATAAAACGGGGAGTACGTCAGGGCTGCATTTTGTCAACGACGTTGTTCAATACCTACTCGAAAATGCTGTTCAGGGAAGCTATTGATGGTTTAAGAGAAGGAATAAATATCAATGGTGAAATCATAAACAATTTAAGATATGCGGACGATACGGTTTTGATTGCTGATAACTCGGAGGATCTGCAAACATTAATCGACCGTGTCGTGGAAGCCTGTGACAGATACGGCATGAAATTAAACTGTAAGAAGACCAAAATTTTTGTAGTAAGTAAAAACGATGTAATACACCACCAATTCACAGCTAATAATGAACCATTGAAAATAGTCGACAAAATTACATATCTTGGATGCAGCCTAAATAAGGAATGGGACAACTCAGAGGAAATAAGATGTCGTATAGAAAAGGCGAGAGCTGTCTTTAATCGTCTCAGAAAGACTTTATGTAATATGCACTTGAACATTGATATAAGAACGCGAGTCTTGAGATGCTATGTATTTTTTCTTATCAACAATATGTTTTGAGATGTATTTTCTACCCTTTTATATGGAGTCCAAGACTGGACCTTGACCTTGTAAAATGTGGTGTTACCGCCGCATGCTCATAATTTCCTATATCCATCATGTTACAAACAACACCGTGATCCAACGTATGAATAAAGATCTGGAAATTATGCGTATCGTGAAAATCAGAAAGATGACATACTTAGAGCATGTGATGCGCAATGGGAAGTATCAACTAATTCAACTAATTTTACAAGGTAAGATAGAAGGCAAAATATCTCAAAGGCGCAGAAGAACATCGTGGTTGAAGAACATCAGACAGTGGGCAGGACTGACTACCATACATCTATTTAGAGCAGCTGTCAACAAAGTTGTATGGACCAACGTAATTGCCAACATCCACAGAGGATAGGCACCAAATAGGAAGAAGAAGAAGAATCTGGTGAGCTTCGTCCTTCGCAACTTTTTACTTAGCGGGGGCAAGTCAGACACCTTGGAGTTATATTAAACCAACAGTTTATTTGGGTTTTACAGATCTTAAAGAAGATCGGAACCGGAATAGAATTTCCGTTGTATGTAGTTCCTTTATATTTATCTTGATAAATACCTCTTAATACCTTGAATACCCCACATCATATTTAGATCAAGAGATTAAAATAAAAAAATAGTAATAAAAAAATAGGCAAGTTTGGCACTACTCATCATATTTATTGTATAGTCTATTAAACTTCACAGACAAGTGACAAGTAAAGCCAAATTGGTAATAACAAAGACTTTAAGTTTAACTTTGTACAAAATCAGTCGGGCTTTTTTGTTATATAATCTGCAGATGG